ACCGATTGGCGTGTTCTTGCCTGAATCGGAGGGCGGCGTGTTCAGAATCTTGTTCAATCGATCGTGTACACGTACTGGTGCATGTGGCATGGGAGGTGACGACCTTGGAGAACACGCTCGTGCCAATCACCATGGAGAACACGCTCGTGCAGCTTTGTGGCGGAAGCCAATCATTAGAGAGATTTCGTTTCACGCGAAGATTTGACCAATCAGAGAGAGGTTTCGTTTCGGCGAAGATTTGACCAATCAGAGAGAGGTTTCGTTTCACGCGAAGATTTGACCAATCCGCGACCATCGCGCCAATTCGGGAGTCGGTTTATAACAGCGAGCCAAGCGGTTCTACTCTCACTTCTTTTCTTTTTAGGCAGCGCTTCGGAGCTGTTGTGTGCCCTAGGAAAATTCTACGCTAACGTCCTTGAACAGGGCTGTTCTGAGTACAAACGAAATTCCTGGCTTGCCGCTTGATCCGCAATCATCGGGCCATTGACATGTTGAGCGTCCAAAACCTTGTTTTCTCGCTGAAACGCTCCGTCTGTGAAGATGCTCACTGTCAGCACCTGGTCACATGCGGATCCAGCGGCAATGGCAAGCAAGGAATTATTTCGTTTGTACTCAGAAAAGTCCTGTCTAAGGAAGTTAGCGTAGACATTTTCTAGGGCACTCGACAGCTCCGGTGCGCTGACTGAAGAGGAATCAAGCGCAGCACCGCGTACTGCTCTCTTTACAGTACAATGTAAGTATCGAAAAGTGGTGAATATAAGTGGTGAATATGAGGTAAGTGGTGAATATAAGCGGTGAATATTCAGCAATATTCACCACTTATGTAGATGGCCAATTGTATGTGGGTGAATATGGAGTGAGGTATAATAGGGCATATAAAGTGATTTTTAGGACCCTGTATTAAGGCCAAGTAAAATAAAATCCCAGTTTATCGTCCTTTTTTTCACAAAAATCGGGGAGGGAGGGCGGATTTTATTTTTATTTTTTGATGTGCTACAGACTAGTATAGTTCTTGGTAAACAATGACACATCATGTGCAACAATCTGCAACAGAATAGTGGTAGTGTATGGAATACACAATGCTATAACAGTTATATGTACATAAACAATTACATGCAAAATCTTTGGATCGACAGATTGTCACTCCACTCATAAGACACAAACCCCAATACTGTTTGGTTCACACAGACCACCAGATAAATGATAGAAAGCTGCAGAAGGGAAAGAACCAGTCAGGACAGTAACCAATAGTCAGTCATAAAGGGAACATGTTGGAATACAATTCACTTCTTCCCCTGAGGGACATGCGTGCGGGTACGCTTCTTCATGGCGCTCTTCCCAGACTCCTGGCAAGCACCACACACAGGATACGCATCGGCATTATTGACTAGACCCTCTCCTGAAGCGCAGTAGCAGCAGACAGTGGGATACCCAGCAGAGTAGTACGGGATCTCAATAGGACTGTCACATGTGAGATTTCCCTTGACATGCACGGAAGCCAGGGCACTGGTGACTTCGCACGCTACATCCGTGAGATGACTGCCACAGGAGAAGCTCAGGGTCTCCAAGGCCGCGACCAGTTCCACACGTGCTGCTGACTTGACGCTCTGCTTGGCATACAGAACACGAGGCTTGCCACACTCGGAGCACCTGATGACCTCCTTGACATTCTTGGCATACTGGGCGCTGGGCGGGAATGGCATGCCATGACCACCAGAGGCTGACTGGCTTGCTGCAACCAGAGATGGCCTGTGCTTCTCCGATGTTGGTTCGCCATATACAGCATCAAAGCTCTTGTACCGCTCGCCATCAGGTACAGGGTCTGGGAGGTGATGCAGCTTCGAGAAGACATCCTCTGGCAGTCGCGGAGGCTTGCACACTGAGCATGCTGGTTTGCCACACTTCAGGATGGTGAAGGAGTAATGCCGGGCAATGCAGTGCTCTTCCAGGACTGTCAGAAGTACCTTGTTCTTTGAAATGGACTGCTTGGTGGTACTCTTGGTATCCAGTGACGGGTCGATGAGTTTGACGGTGTCACGAAAAGCCTCAACCTCCTCGTCCGTGGCAGCATGAAAGCACTGGAATGGTACACCCGTCAGGCGAAGGCGTTGGAACAGCGAGCAAATCAAGATCTTCATATCTTCCATTGCATCCAGCACTGCATCTTTCAGGCCAGGGGTCTTCACGGCAGCATTCCTGATGTCCTTCATGTTGTTGCAGCCTTTCAGTTGATTCTCGAAAGTGGTCTCATTCCGAACTACACCGACACCCTGCAAAGCGATGTTCAAGATCGACATGATGCGCTCCACCGGATTCTTCCAAGAGTTGTACGGGGGTGTTCGAACAGCACAGACATAATCTAGGTCGAGCTTGATGAACAGCGACAGGAGGGACAACTGCGTGGAGAGGTAGGTTGGACGATGGTCGGGCCCGCCATCGGTGTACATGCAGAGGATAGGTTTTACATCGCCTTTCTGCAGGATACTCAGGAGCTCGCAACCATGGCGTGATGGAGAGGAATGTTGAAATACACAGTCCTTCAAGCCCACGTGGACTGTTCCGCGATAGAAGGAGTCATCAATGGATTCTGGCACATCCACAATGAGATTCACGCTTGGTGTGAGATTGAACTTCGTGAAATCGTGGTCCGAAACTACCAGTTTTTCATTCCGCCCAACCAGAACCGGCTTGCCTCGATCTACTGCTGCCACAGGATGCCCAGGCTCTCCAACTTTGATTGTGTGCTTGTCATCTTGGCATACAAAGCACACATGATCACGAAACTGCACAGCAAATTCCCGTTCATAGCGAAACAGAGCGCTGGCGTAGTGGCAGTCAATGTGAGCTGTCCGGAACTGACGTGATTGAACCATGAATTTTACTTTGAGTTTGCCCTTGTAGTGGCGAGCTGTAGCCAATGCAGGATTTCTCGGCCAGAACTGATACCGGAGCCATTGCACTGACGGGATGGGTGTGTCTGGAGGGCAACGCTTAGTGACCTCCTCGTGCATATCCCTGACGCTCAAGGCCTTGGCAAGGTGAGTAATGACAGTGTTGTCTTCTTCCACATTGTCATGCCGTCGGTCATCAACTGCAGTCTCCACGGAGCTCTCAATGTATTGCTGGCATTGCTCAAGAAAAGCAGTATATGACTCGGGCCTACCGCTGTTCACAGTGCGCAAATCCCAGATGAGGTCTGCATCCTCTGTTTCGAACATTTCTGCAATTCGTTTGTCCACTGCTGCTTGGTCTGCGTTTGTACTGGCACTCGCATCTCCCGTGAGCCTTCTGTACACCTCCCGCAGAAATGCAGGCTTGGTGTTCGTCACAGAGCCAAACAGATGGATGAATTCCCTTCGCATAATGCGAGTGTGGAATGTTGGCATGCAGGATTTGAGCTGTTGCTGGATGGCGGAATTCTTTTGCAGGAGCTCAGATTCCTCAGCACACTCTGGAATACGCCAGATGAAATGCACATGCGCCTTGCTGCCAGTGTACGAATACAGAACGCACTTGACGGGCACAACTATCCCCTCCAGGTACTCGTGTCTCCGGCGATGTTCAGTAGGACAATGGTCCTCAATCAGGATGTGTTCATAATCCTCAGCAGCAGATATAGCGGCGTGCAGACTTCTATATCTCGCACCCAGAGTTGGCTTCACGACTAGAGTCGCCCCAATCACCTTCAGCTCATCCACGTCAGTTCTCACGCAGGTACGCTTGGCTTCACTGGTGTAGACTGTATCCAGATGCGCTTTCAGGTACGCAGCATACTTGCGGAAGTTGTCAGCAAGTCTCAACACAGCTTCCCGGACACTTTTCCAGTGCTGGTGCTTCATGTAGGAGCAGCCAGCCAAGAAGAACAGGGATGACGACAACGCATCCAAATTCTGGCGGCACAGGTTCGACTGGTCCCGCTTTCTCCTTTTGCGATCTTCCGGCGTGTTGTACCCAACAAACTTCTCCAACAATGCAGGCACTGCACAACCTCGACTTGACAAGGTGTGGTGATTGCCATCGATATACCACAATGCATCACTGATTGTTCCTACGAAGTTCACACCAGCTGATCCAGCAAGCGCCTCTTCCCAGCCCAACTTGTTCTCCTCCAAGAACAGCAGAAGATCATTTTTCAGCACAGCTTTCTTGTTGACAGGGTTCCATTTCGGCGGAAGAGCACACTGCGTCTTCGACGCAGCCATCAACATAGCGAAAGCGTCACCAGACGGAGTTCTCTCCTGTGTTGTCGCTGTCGCTGCCTGTTCAGGGCAAGCGATAACGAATTCCACGTATTGCCCAAGAGCGCTGACAGTCTCGCCTACTGGCGAATCTGGACTCACAGGGGTTTTGGAACCTTGCTTTGTGTCGCCAACACTAGCTTGGACACAAGAGACAACGTCGCTCTCCTCAAGGCGCTCCCCATGGTCCAACTCGCCAGCGCTGAACTGGGTGAAAATGTCCGAGAGAGTTGAAGACGCAGAGACAACACAGCCATACCAGGACTTCAGAACTTTCAACCCGCGACGGATTTGCAGCAAAACAAACGGCATGTCGCTTCTCAACAAAGTCGCAACTACGGAAAGAACGGAAAACTGTCGAGGTCTCGACAGGATGAAGACGGACTTTCGGCAGAAAGACGAAGCTGTGTTTTCAAGCCTTAGCCGACGTAAAAAATCAAGCTTTTTGGCAAAATTCTAGATTTAAAAAATAAAAATAAATTCCGGGCGGCCTCGAAAAATGGGGCGGGCGGGGACGATAAACTAGGATTTTTTTTACTTGGCCATAGAAATGTTAACAAGAAAACGAGGATGAAGATTGTGTTGTGTTGTGTTCACAATCTTCATCTTCTTCTTCTTGATGGAAGCAGCTCTGCCCGTGGGCATCGAGCACTCTACTGGACAGCATGGAGCCTTTCTGTTTTATAGATACAAATGTGATGTAAGCATTTTTTAAAGTAAAAATAAATAATGTCATGTACTACCACAAAAGGTTTATCTTACGTTCTTCTACGGCGGCCGCCAAAGACAAATATTCTGTTGTGACTTTCATCGAAGCACATCTAGAGAGTGTGGAAAAGAGAACACCAATGAGAATGAATCAATAGGAGAGCACACAGACAGATGGGCAGATTAAAATAACTCATCAAACACACACACACACAAACACACTTGTACTTGTACTTGTACTTGTTGCACACTGCCAAAACTGGTCACGTGGGTCTCCCCGGGAGAGGGGAGAGAGACTCAAAAGGAATCTTGGAAAGATGACTCAATTGGCTATTGAACCGCCCAACGGCCGACACCCCCTGAAATCCCCAAAACTCTGGGTGGACTTGAAAATGATCCCACTTATGGGCTCACCACACCTCAGTAAGTGGGTGAGGACAAGGTGCAGAAAAAGGATTGACGGCATCAGGGTATCCGTCCTGGGATCCAACTGCAGTTACCCCTGCCCCCAGTGAAGGTAATACGTGCTACTAGTGTGGGTGACTAAATCAGAGTGGATCTGATATTAGCTTCACTAGCACCATTGATTACACAAGAGTTAATCTAGCCAGAAGCAGTCCATGGTTAACAGGTATGTATACTTCAAATAGAAAGTATATGAGCCCTGGAACCAACAAAGGTGGCAGGTACTACATTACACCTTCAAGTAGCCGAGACCGTTGGCAACAGACCCAACACAATCAGGCATAAGTGTACCCACCAACCGAACTAGCTGGCACACAAACACACACACACACACACACACACACACACAAACACACACACACACACACACACACACACAAACATACACACACACGACTTCACATAATTCTATCTGAATATTTGCTCACCCGTTATTGTTTCTGAGCCGCCAAAGTAGAGTAAACAAATGATGGCTAAACTACACCCGGAGAAATGACGGTAAGCACACGCCTGCACACACACTACTAGTATCATTTGTTTGCGCGTGACATCAAGCCAAAGATAGTAAACACTAAGCACTACATCTTACCCGATGATCGTAGATGCAGATTGGCACGCCAGATGCACTCAGCTCCGTCCAGGTTCTACTTGGAATGTCATAGCAATAGAAATTACCTGCAGACTGTAATGCAAACAAGAATGTGTGAGAATGTACACACATACACACACAGTCACACACACACACACATGCAAGTACACACAGTCACACATGCAAGTACACACACACACACACACACACACACACACACACACACACACACACACACACACGTATGCACGCACGCACACACACACACACACACACACACACACACACACACACACACACACAAACACACACACACGTATGCACGCACGCACACACACACACACACACACACACACACACACACACACTCGCACACACACACACGCACAGGGGAGGTACGAAAAATCAGTAACAAAATGATAGACAGCATAAACCATGAACTGTGAACAATCCGATAGATTTCTTGGTTGTTATACGATTGCTCTGATGTACTAACGACTTTTTTTACGTAGGTGCTGCAGTTCTTCTTTGTGGCTCCTTCTTACACAGGAGCATGCACATACTGATAGAAGATTGAGCAGAATGCTGTGTTGTTGGGAAGGTGGTGTGATGGATGTGTGTGTGTGTGTGTGCGCGTGTGTATGTGTCTGTGTGTGGTGTGTGTGTGTGTGTGTGTGTGTGTGTGTGTGTGTGCGCGTGCGTGCGTGTGTGTGTGTGTGTGTGTGTGTGTGTGTGTGTGTGTGTGTGTGTGTGTGTGTGATGTGAGGGAGTAGTGTACTAACATTCTGCTCATCATACTCCTTGCTGAGTATGCTGTAGAACCTGCCCATGACGTACAGACGCTGACGCGACACATCCATGCACATCTGGTGACAGGAGCGTGCACTGGGGCCACCCTGGACACAAAGCACGCGGACAACGCAACATATTACGCCAAGCTTTGAACGGGCAATACACCGATTCAAACTTCTTTAAGATGGCAGTGAACAGAATCAGCTGAAGCGACATGTTCCAAAGGTTTTATTGAAATGTAAATTGGGAATGCAATAAATTGTAAAGTGGTGATGGACAAAGAAATAACTGCGATGGAAATGTAATGTGAACGATGAAAAATATAAACATGCATTGAACTAGGTTTCGCACAACACTCATCAGGAAGCATCGTTGTACTAATTAACAAATTGCAACACAGATTACTATAAAGGATCAATAGTGATATTATAACACCTAAACAATGCCAAAAAGTATCACAAAGGTATTCTTGAACGATACCATGTGCATGAAAGGTAACAATCGAACACTCCAAGGAGACAAAATTCAAGTATGAAACAACACTAGTGACAAAATTCTGGCCCAACACGGCCAGACAAACACAACATTCTACTGGTTGAACAATTTCAAAAAGATAACACTCCTCTTTTGAACACAAAGGTCAGGCTCATGAATGCGTTGGAACACAGCCTCCAACACCTTCACCTGTAACTGATAACCATGACGTCCACGACACAAAACGGAGAAACATGAATCAGAATACACCTGGCAACATTCAGGACGAGATACCAAATGATATCACCATTCATCCTTTATAGTAATCTGTGTTACAATTTGTTAATTAGTACAACGATGCTTCCTGATGAGCGTTGTGCGAAACCTAGTTCGATGCATGTTTATATTTTTCATCGTTCACATTACATTTCCATCGCAGTTATTTCTTTGTCCTTCACCACTTTACATTTCAATAAAACCTTCGTAACATGTCACTTCAGCTGATTCTGTTCATTGCCATCTTCAAATTGTTGTCAACTCGCCGCCTGTTCAAACTTCTTTCCTCTGTTTTTGCCATAACTGGCTACTGCCCCCTACCAATAATTATATCGATCGTCGGCAGTGGACAGTGCTGACATGAATCATTAAACTCACACCATGTCAAAGAGCCTGCAAAGAAGGAGTAAATAATCTACTTATATTATCTACGCATCACATATGTGCCCATGGCACGTGAAAGTAATGACATCGGAATCAAAACCGGCTACAAGTTGTGTTGGACACCTTGAACATTCTGAGTGCGATCTACTAGCAGTAAAATTAATGTACACGTGCATGCTAATTATACTTGTGATTAGAAATGCCAAGCACCACCATACCTCATTTTCAGTATTCAGCGACAGACACTCCCAAGTCTCCAATCGAATATTGAAGCGCCACAAGTCACCAAGATCTGTGCGTCCATCCCAACCACCAAATAGATAAAGAAAGCCTGGAGGAAATTGGAAAGTCAGTGGTTCAAAAACAATGACAACTTACATCACCAGATGGCAGAGAGAGAGAGAGAGAGAGAGAGAGAGAGAGAGAGAGAGAGAGAGAGAGAGAGAGAGAGAGAGAGAGAGAGAGAGAGAGAGAGAGAGAGAGAGAGAGAGAGAGGGAGAGAGGGACGGAGGGAGGGAGGGAGAGAGAAAGGGAGGGATGTTTCAGTCAACTCGTCACTCAGTTCACACCAGCCAACACGGTTCAGTCCAGCAAAGGGATTAGACAATACATGCAATACGAATAAATACAAGGAAAGGGTTCTGGATAATATAAATCAGGACAATATGGATCTGGCCGCCATTCTCGGGCTCTCTCTCTCGATCTCCTCGACCTTGCGCAAGCATGCGCAAATATGTACAATGTAGCTCAAACAAGTATCACATGAGACCTACGTCACTGGTCCAACACATGGCACTACTCCGGGCATGCCGAGTATGGGGAGAATGCGTACAGCAAGAACAGAGTACATGTCCTATGCTTTTAGTTTACTGAAGGCTTATCAGTTATCAATGACTGAGACCAAACATACACTACATCATGAATCATACACATTATTAGATACAGTTCAGTGGGACTACCACATTTCCCCCCTTTTCAGAAAAAGACCAGTGGTCTACCGAGAGCGGCTTGGCGTTTGAGTCTTACGCTGCGGATGACTAGAAGCTGGTTGAACCGTACTAGGGTTTGCGGTAACGATGGCAGATGGCTGAGTACCGCATTTGTGCAGTTCCTCGTGTACCTCGTTATCATCGTCGTCTGTAGCCACATTATCGCCTGGCCGAAGCTGTACGGGCGGGGTGTGATAACCTCCTCGCAGCAGTAGATCACCCGGAGGTTTGCCGGTAGTCGTGTTGACGGCTGACCGAACTGCTCGAAGTGCCAAACGAAGTGCGTCTTCTGTTCGTGTCTCGCCAGATTGTCGCATGTGTTGCTTCAATGTCCGGTGGAGACGCTCAAGTGGATGCTGCTGCGGCGTGTTGGGGACAGTGCACTCGTGACTGATTCCCCATGACTCGAGCTGTTTGCGGAATTCGTCGCTGTAGAACGGTGAACGGTTGTCGGCTATTAGGTGTCGTGGCATGCCAAACAGAGTGAATATTTGGTCCAGTGCCCCGATGAGGTCACTTGTCTTCTCGGCTGGTAAACGTACAACTGCAGGATATCGGCTGTATAAATCCAGAAGGGTTAGGAAAACGCTCTGCTGGTAATACAACACTGCAATAGCGACGGTGTGCCAGGCATGAGGAGGTAGTGATGTTGGGCGCTGAGCACCAGCTGGAACATCAGTGGCTGAAATCGTCATTGCCAGAAGACCTAACTGGATGGAGGCCTGTTCTCCTAATAGCGCGGGCACCGTGCACTGTGTGTCATCGACTACAAAGATAGTCTCAGTGGTTTCGCGGCCCTGATAGCTCAGGTTACCATCAAAAACTCCCACGGCTGTTATGCGTTGCGTTCCCACTGGCTGAAGTAGGCATGGCGGCGGTGACAAGACGTACCCCGATGGGAGCGCCGACTTAGGGATAATCGAAACCCTGCTGGCAGAGTCCACTCTTAGCGACAATGTGTGTCGGCTGTCCAATGTTACCTGCCTCAGAGGAAGCGTGAAGCCGGTCTTCTCTGCCTGCACCCCGAAGGTTTCATAGGACGCTGGTGTCTGGGCGGACTGTACGGCTGGTGATGCTGCACCCGTTCGGAGCGACGATACGGCTGGTGCGGTCCGATTCTGTTGCGCTGATGCTGCGTTCGGCAACTGGGTCTGGGCACTGCGGTCCGCTCGACCAAAGTCGGAACGGCACACCGACGAGAAGTGTCCCTTACGTCCACACTTGGCACAGAACATATGGACCGATGGGCAGTGCGGCTTGCCTGGAGCGTGCTTCTCCCCACAATATCCACAGCCGGATGTTGGCAATGTTGTGTGTCGGCGTTGATGGATAGCGGCATAGCTCACCTCCAGTACTGGAGCGTTGTTAGCACAGTCCTCCGCTAATACGACTGCCTGCGCCTTGGCTGCGGCGGAGCTCAAGTCCTGCGCATCGTGCTCCAAGACACTCTTTCGGGCACTGGCCGAGCTGAGCCCCCTTGCAAACAGGTGGACTCCCACAACTCCCAGTAGTTCCTCGGCAGTACGAGTGCTGGTCAGGTTGCAAACCCTCATGTCCTTTTGCACCCGCAGCCCAAAGGCCTGTACAGTCTCCCCAGGACGTTGCTCGACTGCAAACAATTCCGCCAAACGGGACGCTGCGCTCTGTTTCGAGCCGAAATATTCTTGGAACAATTTGATAGGATCGTTGTAGGGATTAGTTGCCGTAGTTGGCACTGTCGGGTAGCTCTGCCATAAGTAGTGACTTGCTGACTCGCCTAAATTGGCAGCTGCTGCCAAATACTGCTTCGACTGATCCTTCACTTCGTGGAGTGCAAAGCCAATCTCCAACTGACTACGCCAAGTAAGGAAATGATCGTTTCCCAGCTCATGGTCCAGGTCAAGGCGGACGCCGACTTTTACTTTTTCTGCCATTTCCCACGTGCGTGGTGAAAACTACAAACTTCAACGAGTGAAGAATCCCGTTCACTGCGCCAATGTTTTAGTCAACTCGTTACTTGATCACACCAGCCAACACGGTTCAGTCCAGCAAAGAGATTAGACAATACATGCAATACGAATAAATACAAGGAAAGGGTTCTGGATAATATAAATCAGGACAATATGGATCTGGCCGCCATTCTCGGGCTCTCTCTCTCGATCTCCTCGACCTTGCGCAAGCATGCGCGAATATGTACAATGTAGCTCAAACAAGTATCACATGAGACCTACATCACTGGTCCAACACATGGCACTACTCCGGGCATGCCGAGTATGGGGAGAATGCGTACAGCAAGAACAGAGTACATGTCCTATGCTTTTAGTTTACTGAAGGCTTATCAGTTATCAATGACTGAGACCAAACATACACTACATCATGAATCATACACATTATTAGATACAGTTCAGTGGGACTACCACAGGGAGGGAGGAGAGAGAGAGAGAGAGAGAGAGAGAGAGAGAGAGAGAGAGAGAGAGAGAGAGAGAGAGAGAGAGAGAGAGAGAGAGAGAGAGAGAGAGAGAGAGAGAGGGAGAGGGAGAGAGAGAGAGAGAGAGAGAGAGAGAGAGAAAGAGACGGACAACTGTTTAAATACTAGCGGTAGTGCATGTACTAATCATACAGTACCGTCGGGCACCAAAGAAAGAGCAGGTCAGGATTTCAACAAGCACAGCACACTGACATATACACAGTGACCCAACTGTGCATAGACTGTAGTAATGAACATAAGAACAACCTACTAGGCTAGGCTACGAGGCTGACCCCCAATTCTTCGGTACAGGACAGTACTGTCATCATGAATAGTAAGGACAAACCACCAGGATCAGACCATGAAGTTCCAACATCAGGGGTACCTAACTAACATCTATATCATCATGTCTACAAGCAGTGGCTACAGCAGCATCACCACATAAACACACACACCATATTTCCCGCATGTAAGTCGACCTTTTACGACCTAAGAACGGAACTAAAAAAGGGAGTAGTCGATTTACAATCGGGGTTTAGTTGCCATTAAACCGGGAAATTGAGGTCCCAAGTACATGTACGGGGCGTCGACTTGGAAACGGGAAAATACGGTACTGCAAGTCCACAAATGTTTAGTGCGTATAAATTTCAGCCTCCGAGGGTTACTTAAAACACATTTTGGCCGCAGTGAAATGTAACTTATTGTAAGCCTGTACTGCTGCTGCCTGTAAGCCCTGTCATACTGTACTCTGCAAACCAAAAATTCAGCCGTAAAAGTTGTTAGGCCTCAAAGGCCCAGGCCGATCATAAATATGCGCCGAATATTTGTTTAATTACAGAATTTTGTCCAGTTTAATACGCCCCTTCGAAACTACACACACATGCAGCAACTGTCTGCAACTCAGAGCTACATTCAAGTCGTGTACATTCACACTTTGGCAGAGCATCTTCACCTTGAGAACACAACACGGTACGTATACAGTCGACTCCACTTAGAACAAACTCGCATACGCCAAATTTTGTGATATAGAGAACCATTGTGAATGTCCCTGCTTGAAACCATACGAAATTGACCATGTCCCTGCTTGAAACCATACAAAATTGACCATGTCCCTGCTAGAAACCATACAAAATTGACCATGTCCCTGCTTGAAACCATACAAAATTGACCATGTCCCTGCTTGAAACCATACAAAATTGACCATGTCCCTGCTTGAAACCATACAAAATTGACCATGTCCCTGCTTGAAACCATTTAAAATTGACCCTTTGTAACAAACAGTTTTGAGAACGAACCATATCGTGTAGGGCTGCATGAAAACCAAGTGCACTCATACAGTCATGGGCCACATGCCAGTCATGATGTGTTGCTTGTATGATCTATAAAGTATATTTCTACTATAAAGAACTAATTCTGCTGCAAAATGGTGTTCGTTATATCACAGTTTAAGCTTACCTTGTTCCGAATCAACACACATGTCGTGGCCACCTCGACCGATGGGCCAGCATAGGTCCTCACTAGTGTTGCGTTCTTGAGCTACAAATATCACAGACATAATTATATATACACACACACACACACACACACACACACACACACACACACACACACACACACACACACACACGCACGCACGCACACACACACACACACACACACACACACAACACACACAACATAGGAGCAAAAGTACAGTCTTACTTGGCAGGTATGATGGCTTACTTCAAAACTAAATCGTTAAGCCTGTAAATGAATACCAAGGGCATTGGACACGTCACCGTCACTATAGTATTGACTGCACCACGGTACCCCCGTGAAACATCCAAATCAAGTTTTAAAAAAACTAGGGACATACCTACACACCTCACTGATTCAGAGCCGGTTGAACTCTGTAATAATGTCACATGTCCACAGGGACAGATGTGATTATTTGCATACTTCAAGTCACAATGCAAAACAAATTGGGAGCGTAGGGTCAAGAATTTGGAGAGGGGACGGTACATTTTTGGACGCGTGCTTGCTCACAGACTTTACCGTTTGAAGGTTGCTGTGGCGTTGACACAAGCAGTACTGAACCGGCAGATGTGACTACGCATTCCAAATCAAGCAGTACACGCACACAGGCAATAGTGAACAGCACATGTACTCAGTAACTCACAAACGCTCGATGGCTTGATCTCAGTCCAACGCAATACACCCGTTGATTGCATGCAGTGCCGCTCAAACACACCATCTTCGAGTGCAGTCAAAAGGAAAGGCAGCACAACAGAAGAACAGGATGACATCATCATTGACGTAATCAAGTGCGTTCCTCCACTGCCCGAAGAGTGTTCAGTGCCCGTACAGGGCAGAGCTTTCCAAACAGTAGAAGAGAGAGAGAGAGAGAGAGAGAGAGAGAGAGAGAGAGAGAGAGAGAGAGAGAGAAAGAGAGAGAGAGAGAGAGAGAGAGAGAGATAGAGAGAGAGGAGGCAGGGCTGAACATAAGAGGGAGCTATGTGTCCGACCTTTCAGCACTCCAGCCATGCATGATCTGCAACGGCAAGCAGTAACTCACCATCAGCAGCTTTCATCAGCATTTCTTCGGCCTCCTTGAAGTTTTTCAGCTCAACCTGTCAGAAAAGGAGAGTATGTTGAGTCAGAGTAGAGTGACTGGTCATACACACGGCCAATGAACAAAAAATTATCATTGGTGGATTGTGTCGCTGACCTGCACATTGATAATTGTTTGATACTTATTTATTTGTACCTTTGCAGCGCTGCACAGTTTGTACGAGTACTCGGAGATTTATGCAGAGCATGTCTACAGCTTTATTTGAATGCGTGCGTATTGTGCTGCTTTGTTTGGATGCGTGCGTATTGCGCAGTAGTCCCTTGCAGTACGCGAGTTGTAGTGCGGGTTAGCACACAGGTGTTAACGCTTCGCACTTTCCATGCAAGCTACTTTTCCGGATTCTGTACTTGCTTTCAATTCATGCACGTGTCGCTGGCATACGCAATACGGGCCGGGTTCGTGTATTGGTTTTGAAGCATGTGGTTCTTCTTTTCAGTTGTTGCTCTTTGGTTGCTCCGCGAGTTGTTGCTTTGGATTGGAGACAAAGATGGCTTTCTGTTTCAGTAATATAATGTAATGAAACTATAACTGATAGTATTCTGTTGAGTGTTGGGATGCATTGGGACCCCGACACCAATAGATTGCATGCCTTCGTTGCCGAAGGTTAACCGACCGTCCTACTGGACACACTGGCAGGACCAAAAAGGAACAGTCTTGAAACTTACTAGTTGCCGATGGAAAGTGGTGAGCCACGCGTCCTCAAAGCACGTCCCAGTGCGGTCCATCAGCTGCTTCAATACATCAATGTGGCACTTATCTCGTAGGAACTTCATGCACAAGCGCATGGATTCCTCTTCTAAATACTGCAAGTATTCAACAGCATACATTGAGAAGCAAGTTGCAGTTCAAGGACTATAGATAATATCAAGAGCACATGAAAACCAGAGTGTGCAGCTTGGGGCTTTTTCTACTATGGGTGTCTGTCACGGCGGAATTCCGCGATTACATCATATTTGGCGCAGATCTGAGGCGGGAAGTGGCTTAGTGCGTACAACTGAGCTGCAATTGTGCAGAAAAAGACCTGCTTGAATCCTGCTTGTACGCACTACATCACTAAAAAGATGTAATCACGGAATTCCGCCGTGACAGCAACCCATCCAAGCTGCACACTCTTATTTTCATGTACTCTTGGTATTATCGAGAGTAGATAAACAAGAGTGTGCAACTCCGGTTCTCTCCTGCACAATCTGCAGATACCCCGGCCCATGACGGAATTTTTTGTTCACGTCACTTTTTTTCAGAAAAACGCCCATTTTGCCGCAGAGCAGTGTGAGAGCACGTGCTGGGCACCGACCTTGTAATGTAAAGCCCGGCCAAGTGCACGAGGCAAAACTTTCCAAAAGACTCGCAGCGCGTGCGTCGTAGAAAATATTATGTCAACAAAAATTCCGCCATGGGCGAACCCATGAGTTGCACACTCTCGTTTATCTACTCTTGATATTATAGAAAGATAGATAGAAAGATAGATAGGTGGAGAGAGAGAGAGAGAGAGAGAGAGAGAGAGAGAGAGAGAGAGAGAGAGAGAGAGAGAGAGAGAGAGAGAGAGAGAGAGAGAGAGAGAGAGAGAGAGAGAGAGAGAGAGAGAGAGAGAGAGAGAGAGAGAGAGAGAGAGAGAGAGAGAGAGAGAGAGAGAGAGAGAGAGAGAGAGAGAGAGAGAGAGAGAGAGAGAGAGAGAGAGAGAGAGAGAGAGAGAGAGAGAGAGAGAGAGAGAGAGAGAGAGAGAGAGAGAGAAACAGAGAGAGCATGAACGTGTGGCGTGGGAGACTCCAAGAATCAGATAAAAGAAAGAGGGAACAAAGAGCTAAAATATTTACAATTCTGTCACTAACAGCTAAAGGAGCATGATAAAAAAATAATAAAAAAATTTCACAGTTCGCGTGAGACTCGGCTGGAAGCCGAGTTTTCCGCATCCGCCGTGGGAACGCCACCACCCTCTAGGATCAAAGGCGCAGATGCAGCGCCTAAACGGTGGGAGGTGAGTAGGTCAGACCCACCACCAAGTGGTCAAAGACCGAAATCCCATTAGTTGCATCCATGTATGATAATCCTACCTTATTCAGACGAGTACATGCTGGCACAACAATAGTCGGTGATGCGTAGCCACTTAATTCAACATTCCAAATTGACAGGTTGAACTTCTTATCGTAGCTTTCAAGTGGCACTAGCACGAGAAGAAGAAGAAAAGCAATCACGGAAACCGGAAAACTAACGGAAAAGACGCAGAATTCAAGGAACATTGAACAGTGCAGAAGATAGAAGGCAACTGACACTACGCAGCAAATCCTTCATAAGATAAAAGATCCAAAATAAGACAAAGGAAACACTTTAAAACTATTCTATGCGTCACCATCAACTATAGATGATGGCGATCTTGAACGATAGGGATTCAGACAAAAGAACAGCCCCCCCCCCCCCTCTCCGCTGCAAGAACACATTTCTAAACAAATGTAACTGGACAAAGCTCATATGACAACATACTGGACAGAACCCCGATAAGTGATCGACAATGGTAGGGTACATACCAATCTTGAAGTAGATGCAAGGCACACATCGCTGTAGTGATGCCACTGACTTATCACTGACCGGCAGCAAAGAAAAGCAATTGGTGGGCGAGCCTTGTACCAGTTGTCTGCAGCAGAGACAGGAGCGGAAAAAAATGCTTGCCTTCAGGATACATTTACACACAGTAGTCAAGTGGTGCGCTTCACTGCCTGATGATCGTAGTAATACGTGAAACTCAGAGTTGTGACAAAGCTTCCAATCTCTCTTGTTTATATACAGTAGAACGCTGACAAGATGTTGGGAACAGGAAAGTGCTGATAGTATCCAAGATGGTGGCCATTGTTTGCCAGTGCAACCTATTGACATGTGATGTGAAATTCTGCC